TGTTTTCTAAACTTGTTAATGAACCATAAAACTTATACAACTCCATAACATGTTTCGGAACACATTTCACACACTCGTTGCGGGGCCATGCAATAAATCATTAAATCCGTAAATTATCATCCATTTCATTTAATTTGACCGGTCCGGTGTTTATGGTATCTTTACGATTCCCATTTTTGTATGGAAGTCGATTACACCCATTAGTTTCACTAATTACGATTTTTTACAGCCACAATTTGGTTTTTATGGGTATTAGAGCATTTTCTATTGGAACTGAAATACTGCTGTCGGTCGTAAAGAAATTATTACGGTATCCTATAATTTTGGACCATAAAGTGGCGATGGCGAAAATCTAATGAACGGCTCTGGTTTACTTGCTACTTCGGTAATTAAAACTAATTATATATTTTCTATCTATAAATAGTAACCCACAAGGTAAATATTTGAACAGTTAAGTATTCCTTCCGTTTAATAATCCTAAAGTAGGTATCATCAGAGACAGGCAATCGAGTTTGGCTTTTGTTTTGTTTTTCACATTGTTTTTATTTAGTTAGAATTCAATTTAACGTATAATTACTGTTATGGCAGCGAATTCTGGATCACAAAATACACAAGTGACAGCAAATAAAATTTTACATATTAAAATTTGTTGGAAAATAGTTACTTAATAAGAAGCCACGGTCAGGCGCGGATCCACCGTTGTGGGCACTGTGGGCATGCCCACAACCCTAATTTGCTTGTTTTAATTATGATCTATATAAGATCGATAGGCATGTATGTATGTCCGGGCATGTAGTGATCCAACTCTCACTTTGCTAATTTTTGGTGGCTGTGTCCACAACCTTTTTTGAGGGCTGGATCCGCGCCTGGCCACGGTGTTTACTTGAAAGAGTATAAGTATGCGTGTACAATGTACATGAACAACGTGTAGTTATAATTTTCAAAGGAACGGACCTACAAGCCCATTGGTGGTCACAGGAACCCAATAAAACGAAAATTAAAAAAATGTTTACTTGTAAGTAACTATTTATCTTTATAAACACTGTGAGAACACATACTTATTAAACTTAAACGAAAAGAACACGTCAATAATTAAACTTTTTCCTTTGAAGCAAGACTGGAAAAGTAAAATACATGGTACTTACATAAAATAATTACAGAGTGTAGTATGTACAGTCAACAGAAATTCAAACTAAAATATTTTGTTGCAAAACCGTGGCTATTACAACTACATAGGTGTCAGTGCTTACGCTACTTAAGAGTCTCTTGTAGGGATGTTATGGATAATTTTAGTTACGGTTATGGATATTTTTTTTAATTCGAATATCCGAAAATTTCGGTTACGGTTACGGATATCTGTGCTTTAGAATGCCATTTGCAATAGTTGTCTAACACGGTTCATTCATGGCCGCACACTTTACATCGATTAAAAAGTAATAAAAAATATACTAAATGGCATTATACCTAAAGGTAAATCAGGCTGTTATGCCTCTACATAAATATAATGCTATACAAAAAACAATTTAAACTGCCTACATCCGAAACTATCCGAAACTTTTGAATCGGTTACGGTTACGGTTTCGGATATTTTTTTATTTCGGATATCCGAAAGTTACGGTTACGGATATTCATAACATCCCTGGTCTCTTGTATGTAATTTACTTGTTACACTGTAGTCTGTAGTCTTATTAAGTCATCAAATCTGTACCGCCAGGCAAAAGAACCCTTCTGACCACAGTGGTGTATGGTTAATCTGCATTTATAGCCTGTAATCAATTACATAAAACTTTTTGAAGTGATGAAGGGCTAAAAATAATACAAGAATACTGTCTACATAATTGATTTTGTAGATTTGAGATTGATAGATAGAGTCGCTAGCGACAAGAGCCCAATATCGACAACCATTTTGAAGTTCGATAGTTAAATCCCCATCAACTGCTGACTACTGTACCTCTAGCATGAACAACTTTCGTCTTCGAATCGTTTGCGTATTCGATAAAATTCGATACTCAATCAATGAAACGATAACGTGACAATTTTGATTCTCAAAATTAGTTTCGTGCAACCACATCTCATACTAAGTTCACTTTACGACACCTTCACAAGGGCGCTGTGTAGTTTTCTTACTAAATCTTTTGATGGCGATTCGAGTACGCAAACGATTTGAACTCGAAAGTTTTTCGTGCTAGCCGTACTGTGGTGAACCCACCCTTCGACACTAGAATCATTAACGTAGCTTAGCCTAGAGCGGTTAAAATAACCGGGATCCGGGATAATATAGTTAATTTTTGCTCTACTAATGATGAACTACTTAATACCTTTATGAAAGCTCGCCTTAGCAAGGCGCTCATGGTTTCGAATCGAAATCAAAATTAAATCTTACATTGTCTACAGGAAAATATTAATATTTTTATTCTACTCTTCATCATCAACATCACCATTTCAGCCACAGGACGACTGCTGAACATAGGCCTCCCCCAATGACTTCCATATCGCACGGTTGGTAGCGGCCTGCATCCAGCGCCTTCCTGCTACCTTTATTATTCTACTCTTGCGAGTGCTTAAAGTTCTCAACTGATATTATCATAACAATTTTCTAAACAGATAACTGATCAATTCAAAATATTTTTCAATTTGCCTGCTCGAGTGTGACACTTATAATTTCGTTCGTCTGACAATTTCACGCGCGGACGCGCTAGTTGCTCTTTGTTTTAAGCTATTTGAGCGGAAGAATATAATTATGCTGCTATCTTCGATTAGGCGCTATCAAGGAGTTTGTAGTTAATTGAACGGTGTAGGAAGTGGACGAATAATTAAATTATCATGCCTCGCTTATTGGCGATGTCGCAGGTAGGACACCTTTTTACTATCTGCTTGTTCTATCGTGTAGATTGTGACGGTTGAGTTCACATTTTTGGAGCCATTATAAATTTTTGGTCTAGTTTGATAACTGGACTAACGTTTTAATGCTTTTTCTATATGCTTAGGTAGTATGTATGTGGGAAATAAATTACTCACGATTATTTACATTAGTGTACTGGGCGCCCCTTTAAATTTCTAAGTACCTAGGTAGTGCAGAGTTAGTTCTCTTTAAATGAACTAATTTAACTAAAATGTATCTAACGTAAATGCCCTATAAACAGATCATTCTGGCTTAATTTTGGGCTACTGATTGCAGAATTAGTACTGAACCTAGAAGACATAGGTGCAGTAAAATATTTCGCTACAATTGTGCAGGAGCAGAGTGGCGCAGTGGAAGCGTGCTGGGCCCATAACCCAGAGGTCCGTGGATCGAAACCACGCTCTGCTAAATTGCCCAACTAACACCTACCGAGCAACATTATTTTTAGATTATATTTTTCGTGAACCTTTATGAAAACTAAGAAAGAAAATATAGACGACAGCACATCTAGCTATATTTTGGTTGCAAAGTACGAGTACATATAACTTCATAAGATCCCACAGTGTTTACGTTGATGCTCTGTCTGTATATAAAATGTTTAATTTTTAAGTGAAATTTATGTAAACGCAATAACTATTAATGAGTTATTGTGAAAAGTTGTAAAAATATTCAAAGTGCAACAGTTAAGTACAGCGCAAAAAATTTAAAAATAATAAACACAGAAAAACCAAAACAAAAGACGAACTGTTTACAGTAACCGTAACTTAATTTAAAAAACATTACTTACCGTTAATTTGTTGCCTTAAAATAACAAATTAAGTAGTTTTTGTCCTTTATTTTTGTTTCAAAGTTAAAACCAGATCAAACTGTAAGTACCGACAAAGCTCCAGCGAAAGCACAAAGAATAACTTTCTGGCTCCAAATTAGCCCCATTAACATAACAAATGACGGATTTGCTTTTGTTATAATTATGCAACTATTTATGTTGATGTTTATGGCTTTTTATGGCTACCGCTCTTTGCCTGACTGGGTCTTTCCCAGGCCTACCAATAAAAAGGTAAAGTGTGACCGGTGCTTTATTTTGGGGTTCCATTTTATTGAAAGTAGAAATGGAAAAGAGCAACTTGATCTTAGCACGAGAAAATTATAAATCCGTATAGTATTTTCTATTTCTTGATGATTTCTATTTGGCAATAAATCATTAAAAATGAAGCGAGTGTTATACTCGTATTTACTGTGCACATTAATTATTATAATTTCTGTTTGAAGCATTTTTTAATTATTTTTCCAATTAACTTTCACGTAGTCCTGTTAACTTCCTATTTTTTCATCGCGGGTCCACCTTGATAGTTCAGACCGACCTACGAATCCTACGATAGACTTGACCTTCACTAGATGGGTTTGTATTGACGGTCTAGCTGTAAGCGGCGGAACTCTAAAACTTTATGTCAATACATTTGTTTATTAGACCGAAAATGAAGCTAACTCTCCCGGATTCAAAGAACCAGATAGCGATTTGAACTGTTTGCTTAGGCTTTTTATTTGCCCTCAATTCCTGCAATTGAGTTTTTGCCTCCTTCCAAGAGGGCATGCGTCACGGGATCATTTTCTATGGCGCGACCACCCGGTCGGGAACACAGATGGCAAGATCAAAGAGCGAATAAAAAACTAAATTGTGCCATGTTTTTTTGTGTATCATCGCAGTTCTGGATAAATGTGTCATATTTTCGGGGAAGGAAACATGAGGAACGGCAATTAATGTGTGAAACTTTGCTACTTTTTATAAATTTTTAGCCGATAGCCAGTATTGGCTGGTGACTGACAACGTTACAAAGTATGCGTATTGGCGCATTGGCGTTCAAGTAAAGGACGTCCACTGCTGGACAAAAATTTCCACAACTATCGGTCCATTTCTGTCCATTTCGGTGTTTTCTATACTTTCTTGTTGGAGTGGGAGATTAATCGCTCCAAAATATTCAAATTAAAAAAAAATTCAAAATTCAAATTGTTTTTATTGTGAAACTATTGGCTCAATCGTAAGACAAACACGATGTACTTAAAACTAGATAGCTGAGTTATTTTTGTTACGTTTGTTATTTTAATCAAGTTGCTCGCTGTCCCTGAGAGCAGCGTGTCCGCCAAATTCGTTGGTGGCCATCCCCAGAACTATTTTAAGCATTTCACAAATTGCAAGATCGTTGCAATGTTTCCCAAAATTGACGTCGTTTTCAATTTCTTTTGATTGCACCCCCAAGTTGTTCTGGAAATTGTTAATTAATGTTAAGGCAAAGGTTCTGGCAAAAATTAGTTTTTTTTTTTAAATTAAACCTTTAAATGTATAGGTATATTTTTATTGGTTATTATTACGATAAAAGTCGAAATTACCTGTGTTAATCAGTTTATCCTCGTTCGCGTCAATAATATCAGTGTCTGGTTTCTAATTTTAACGTCTTTGTCGTCAAGTTTTTCCTTTGCAGACAAAAACTTAAAACCATAAAAAATACCCTTGACTCAATAAATATGTCAATAAGCCTCACACGTCAGTATCACGCGTATAATGTCAAGAGCTTTAACTTGAAGGACAAAAACCAACGTTTCTTTTTTGTCGATCACGATGCCTGTGGTCTAAGTCCTCGGTCGTTGGTGGGCGCTGTCTAGACTATGCCGAATATTCCGGATAATGTCCACCGACGGTGATTGAGACGAGCAACGCGTGCAAAGGGTTAAATTATTGGTTTTGTTGCAAGACTTTCGCATGTCTCGAAAGTGAAAAGCCGGAAGATTGTTTTTTTTTTGCTTTTTGTACGGATTTTGACAGATTTTTGACATTTGTTAAAGTTAAAGTAAAATGGTGCAACCCAGCCATATTGTTTGCCCGATTACAAATGTAGCCGAAAGGAAGAATTGCGATTTTTATGTAATTTACGTTCGTTCGTTTCAGCTAAATGACGTCCACTGCTGAACAAAGGCTCCTTGATCTTCGTATTAGTATTCACGTATCTTTTTCCAATTTTAATAAATAAAGAGTCAATCGTTTAGTTATTATACCCGGGTATCATAAGCTACTTTTACCGACTTTAACAAAAGAAAGATTCGATAAAACTAACGCCCATCACTGACTCGATGAGTCGCTTCTATTAATGTTACCTGTAAAACTGAAAAAGGCACAAACGCGTCGGCTGCCACCATCTTACATAGCATCTTCAGACAGCTCAATCCAGGACCTAAAGCATCTACAGGAACAGATGTAAACCCGATTGTCTACGACGCCGCTGCATCTTCATTACGTCTGAAATAAACGGCCGCTGATGGCGATTTTCAATAGTCCCGTCTTGGAATAAATCAAATAACTCCGCTGGATCCACTGTCATTGGCAAATGTGTCTTCATTCATGATGGTGCACTGCGGGAAAGGAAATCTGTGGAGTAGGTTACGTTTTAGTCGAAATAATTTTGACTGAGTACAATGGTTTATTGCGATTGTAAGGCACGAAAATGGGTTGTTTGGATTATAAATCATCTCATTATCTTAAAAAAATAATATGATATTAGGTAATAATATAAAAAATCTAGAGCCGCCACGTCATATAGGTAACATTTTAAGACGTACGAATACATTCAAACAAATAGCAAATAAACGTTTGAACCTGAACCTGAACCTCTTTCTTTTCTTAAGAAAAGTAGAATATTAAATTATTGTTTTTGGCCATTTATAAAAAGGGTACACACACAGCGTTTATAAAAGTTAGCTTTTTTATTTTCAATATAACGGGATTTGGCAACACATTTATGTATTTTTTGTATTTTTATTCTTTAAGGTGCGAACTCCTTTCACGCAACTACTCTTACAAATAAATAACTGCCAATGGGTAACCATGAATAAATACACAATCTTACCAAAATATCACATTTTAATCTCATTAGTACTAACATCTTAAAAAATAAAGTCTTTAAATCTGATAGCGTCTCCACCCCGTGCCCTAGTCCTGCTGACAGACACAGACAGGTTTGAGCAAAAATAGTCCGCTCGGATCGGGACCGACGGACAATGCATTCGTTATCGAGGCGCGCGCAGCTGTGCCGTGCCGTGAAAATTTATAAAAATCTGACTTATCTACTTTTGTACGGCGGATGTGAGGGTTGCAACCTGAAGAATATGGAGGGCTGATCGTAGAAATACATATTCTTCATAATCTAAAAAATACGTTCATTTAGAAGTTAATTCTCGGGGTGTTGAGATGCCTCACCTAAAATTTACTATAGGTATACTGATGTTGAGGATTCCGGTTGAAGCTCGCTTCAGCCTTTGGCCTGATCATCACATTCTATCATTATATAGGTTATATGCATGCAGGCCAAGAGTGCCAAGAGCTTCCTCGTTTAGGTATAAAAAACTAGGTTTCAAAATATAATAGTAATTCTTTAAAAAAAATCACCAACACAATTAAAGGCTGAGTTGCACCACCTAACTTTAACGGTAACTATAACGATAACCGATGTTTTTTGTATGGAGTTTGACAGACTTTTGACGTTTGTCAAAGTTAAAGTAAGATGGTGCAACCCAGCCTCAGTCATCAGTTAAAAAAACTGTAGAGTTAAAATTTTACCGTGCTTTAATAAATGCCAGTTATAGATTGAGATATCGGCTCATTGGCTCGCGCTTAGCGTTGTTTGTACAAACATAATTTGATTTTAAGTAGTGATATCTTATACCGTACTTAGCTTAGAAACTTAAGTTCAGACCATAAATCGAATGTAAGACCTTTACGAATAGTGACGTTTTTATTACTAGGGTTTCACGCCTAGTTACTAAGCTCTGGTACAGTTGACAGCACATCAGATATACTTATTTGTTGGAAAATAGGCTCTATTACAATTGTTTTAGGCTTCACAGTGCTTAGTTTCATGTGCGGCCATATGTACTTTCACCAGCCTATGATGCGCATGGTTTTACGCGCTTACCAATTGTATCATTGGGTTTCAGTATGCGAGTACATTGAGTATATTTATTTTGCTTCTAACATGATCTAAATCACAATTTTATTGATGGAAAGTGACGTTTATTTCGTCTTTTTAATCCACGGGGCCAGCCTTAGCAAGAAGCTTTTTGCCTCATTGCGATTTTTTGTGCTATTACCCATGAAGTCTAAGATGAAAACCGCAGTGCCTACATGGTAAATGCCAATTTAATATTTACCCCATTTATGCATGCTGCTCATGCTCATTTTAATGGCGTAATCACACATTAAAACCCACACAACATTATCAGATTTCCAAATCTAATTCCAAAATTATTACAAAATCGACCGCAAAAAGCGATTACTATTTATAAAATAATAACGTTATTTGTCCCTAAATCGGTATCGCGACCGCATACTGATTTGTACGTGCCAATAAGTTTGGGTCTACTCTAAAATTTATTTCAATATTGTCGACTCTCTTCGTCTTCTTCACTCTTATGAGCATTCCATTGAGTATGAACGAGAAAGATGACATTGAAAGTATCAAGACAGTATTGCGTGGCAGGACTTTAAGCTCACGTCTGTGGTTGCTGGTGACCGAATATTGGCCAACTCACCTATATTGGTGCTTTGTATTGTTAGAACGTACGTAAGTCGGCCGTTTCTATGTGGTATGGAACTCATTGCTGGATGTAACGGTTGGCACAAAACATACCAATGGCGGTGCAAATATTCTGACGGATGAGGCTTTACAACCAAACGGTACATTATAAGTCCTAAATCAAAGTATTTCTTAACTATGGGTATAATTTAAGTTCCTGAATATCACAAGGCAAAACGCCATGTTATTCTGTCTATACTGACTGTTAGTGAATACCTGACAATAAAATATGTTTGCATAATTGGCAAGTAACTAATTTGATGTATATTATTAATAATAATAATAATTGGTTGGTTGTCTCGGCAAACGGACTAATAGCGAAGAGCTTCGACCAACATCTAAAGAAGCTCTCGCTAGATGGTTGGCTCAAGGGTCAGATTCAAAAGGCGGTGATCCTCAGCACGGCACGCATTGTCCAGAGGTTCCTCAGCCTGTGACCCTGACCACCGGTAGCTTGGGCCCTGCTCCGCTGCCAGCGGGTTAACTAGTTTTAAGATTTTTGTTTTTATAAAGTATTTTTATTTTTTGATAATTACATTATAAAAAGAAAAAATCTATATATATAAAAGAAAGTCGTGTTAGTTACTCCACTTATAACTCAAGAACGGCTGAACCGATTTAGCTGAAAATTGCCAGGGAGGTAGTTTAGAGCCAGGAGAAGGACATAGGATACTTTTTATCCCGTTCGAAATTAAAAAAAGTCTGCTTATTTATTGCCATTAAGGCGGAACAAAGTTCGCCGGGTCAGCTAGTTAAAAATAAGAAAGAAAATTTAATAAAGAAATAATAATAATAATAATAATTGGCATGAGCCCGTGAGTTATGGTTAAAACCGAAGACCAGAGGGACTTCGAGTAAAAATAAAGAAAACGTAACAATAATAATAATAAAGCAGCGAAAGCAGCGATATTAAACACTTGCCGAATAGTTCGTCGTTTTCTTCAGGATGAGCCTGCCACTTCTGCTGGCCCATCGTAATATAAACACTTAATTAATCTTATTATAGATCAGGTACTTGGCAATGCCCGTAGCTGATCTTTAATTTTCCAGCTTTTAAGCTGAGGTGGAATTACTACTCCTCCTTTTTTGAAGTCGGTTAAAAAGCACAAAATATAAATAATAATAATAATAAATATTTATTTTCATAAAAAGCTAGGTACAATACAAGGCAACAGTAGTTATTGCACTAGTATATTATTTTTGATGTAGGTATACCCTGTAATTACTGAAAATACTTACTTAGGAAACATGTTTTTAATTTATTTCATCCCAAATCTAATGTTGCAAAATTACTATTGTAATGAGTTTGAGTGTAAAAGTTTCTGAAATAAAAAGACATTCGTAAACAATGAACTGCTGATCCAATTATATTAGTTCTATGATCCACTAAAATCGGAAAGAAGGATGTGTTGTTTTCCAAAAACTAATAAAAACGAATATTCCCAATAACGTCAGCAGTAACTAGAATGTTAATAAATTCCATACATACTCGCAACTCCAGTTACGAATAGCACTCGTCGAATCACTGAATGGGCTCCATAACAAATAGTGCTGCGATTCCATACGGTTTTGAATAGACTCCAACACTATTTTCGGCTGATCTTTAGCTTTTGTTTCGTTTTTGGATCGCGCTATAGAA